GATCTCATTTTTAACAAGAGCTCCTGGCCCAAGACACTGGTATCCAAACCTTACTTTTTAGGATTCAGAGACAGAACTCTCTGCTTGGATCTAATTGACTAGTTGAGAGCAGAAATTGCGTAAGTTTCCTGGCGTTCCATCATATGGAGTAATGGGCTGGATCGAAAGGTGATGTCTGGGCTGAGGTGATACTGTGGGTGTTAAGGCCGTCGGTAATATAGAAGAGACTGAAGATGTAATCAATTGGCTTACACGCTCTCCATCAGTTTTGGATGCTGCATCAAGTATTTCAGGTGAAAAAGGTATGTATGGTAGATTCCAAAGATGTGGAGGGAGTAATCTTATGTTTGACCTTGAGGGACTTTCATCTGTGGGTTGGATTGATGTATTATTAATGTCTGGCATATTGTCGTTCATTGTATTGAGAGGTTGAGAATCTGTAATGCTACAGAAGTCTTCGGTGGGTGTTGAATGAGTCAGAGTATCCGGTGAATCAGTTACTCTATTTCTCATATGATTTTGATGCTTAGTAATGTCAGATTAGAGCGTAGGCGTTTGACCTGAAGCGAAATTTGAGGGCGAGAAGAGGTCGGATGGATCGCAAGAGATGACTGAATGTTAGAGATAACTAGGAGGAACTAAAGGTTTGAAAGGTTGGTAATATAATAGCTAAAAGGTCTAAAGGTTCGAGTGGGTATTAATGGTAACGAAAGGTACAAGAGGTAGCTGGAGGTTACTAGAGGTAATCCGAGGATGGTGGTTGTGACAGAAAACAGGGCAAATAACTCTATATTTGTAGGCCAAGCCATCATATATATAATTGCTTTTTTCCCACTAGCTCATCATAACATAGGCCCTAAACTAGTACCAACCTTATAACCAGTGCCAGGAGGGCATGACTGATCACCTGTACACGGTGTCCTCTATGAACCTGGGAGTGAAATATTCTCCCAGGGCCAAGTTCAGTCAAATTTCGCGATATCGAAGAAGTTGGCCCACGAGGCAAATTTTCAAATTACACCACCATTTCAATCTTTCCCTCCAAAAGAGTCCGATTCTCAACCAGGCTTCATCAAGTCTACAAGTACGACCTAGTACATCCTCATCCCAATGACCACACGTCTCGTTGACTTTTTCTGGCCTCAGCCGGTCACCAAATACACGCCCATGCCGATATTTATACCCGACAGAGGACACAAAGCGTGTCGCACAAATCTGGGAGACTGTTCTTTGGGATGGACGTGAGAGGGATTAAGACAAGTTTTCAAGATGATGCAAAGGAAGGATTTTACCTCGACAGGCGAGAAATTTAGAATTTTGGCAAGAGTTTTATGAATTGAGCTATGTGCGCGCCAAGTCTTCGCTTGCGAGAGTGCAGCTGACACTATAGATACAAGCTAACGATGGAAGGTGTTGTGGTCCGCCTCCTGGTGGTGTTCTCCGGTATAGTCTGGGTAGCCTGGGCACCTACTCCACTTGGGAAGGAGACGCCTCAGACCATATTTCGCGCGGAGAAAAGTTGAAAGATGATGGAGGCATGTCTGGATAACTCAGGGTTTTTGAGATGTTCCCCTGGGTGGGTATTCACGGATGAGGGTTGACTTGGGGTGAAGAAAAAGCCACGATAACTTCGCAGTGGTACTTGCAAATGAAATCCGAGGCATGAGTGCTCTTCCTTTATGTTGAATCATCTGTTTTGTACTTTTCTTTGATATTGTGTCCTTGCTGGATAGCTGCACACGCAATTAAAATCTGATGCAAAAAAAAGAAAAAACCAGTGCCAAGAACTGTTCTGTTGCCATAGCAACATCAGGAGAAGGGTAAAATTATAAACTAAAGATAGGATGGAAAAGAGAATCCTCACACACAGATATCTTCATACATAGTTCCTATTGACTCAGAATAGGTCCTTGGTCTGTAACACACTCCTACTGGAGCTTAAGCACGAGTGGGGTCGGGTCGGATCAGGTTAGCTACCGTGAAGTACAGATATACCTCGTCCCACTTTAACGATCGGACCACTTCAGACTTCACCTATGTGTTGAATTATACCAAGCCTAACCGTCCAGAAACAAACTGTATACACGCCGTAGCGTAATTTCCTCCTCAGCCTTGGTCACCACGCGCCCGAGCCCTTGACATCCTCATTGACTCCGAAATATAAAATTAGTCCCAGATCTCATCGTTGCTCTAGCCTTGCACCTTCATGTCGTACCGTTGGGTTGCTTTCGTCATTGAGGATTTGTGTAATCCCCTTGGTGTATCTTTCCTCTTCTTCGTCCTTTGTACACATCCCGTTTCCATCATGACTTTCCTCATTAGGGCGTGTGTATGTAGGTGATCGGACGAGTATGGAAGTGGGCCGCAGGTAAAGGATCGACAGAGAAATGCTTCGTCGCAAATATAAAAGGAGTTTGAGAGATGTTGGATGTTTGAATACGACCCCCAGACAGACCTAAATCCATCCGTAAACCGTATGTTGGTGGTGATGAGTTTTTGTTCAACTTTGTTCCGGCTGTGAAATCTCTGCCGACTGATTTTTCGACCAAAATATCGAGTGCAACTCCTTCAAGTCGAAAATCCATCAACTAAAATTCATCCCACCCTTTTTCGTGACTGAATCTCGGCTCTGGAAGAACATTTCACTCACAGATTCGTAGAGGACACCACTGACAGGTCTTCAGCCTTCGACAGAACCAAGGGCTTTTTGGTTAGGCAGTCGAAAGTGTCGTTTAAAATATGTTTCTCTAACCAATTACTTGAAAAAGGCGACTAGATCACATTTTATCGCAAGCTGTATGATAAGGAGAGACAATACAACCTATGACGGGCTAGCCAAGCTGCGCCTGCAGGACTAATCCCATAAACAGGCCAGTTTCAAGTTAACATTTTGGAACCTAGAGGCACTGTTGGATATCCAATCCAACGCCTTTGTCACAGTCATAGAGATCCAGTCGATATTTGGATTAGCATTTTCCAACTGTGGTAACCTCTGACAATCGGGGAAGTCCTCGAGTTGGCTTGAGATGCACGATCATTAGTTTACAATTCTTCTAAGAAGAGAAAATGTATGTACAAGAAGGGCTTATTAATACCCGCGCTCTCCTCCAGTACGTGGCCCGCGTCTATTCCTAAGAGCGGACAGGTGTACCTATGGAGAGTTTAGGTTACTGCAATGGTGTCAAATCCCGTCGCTCACCCTACAACTCAGCTACTTTTCAATCAGTTTCGCTGTGCCCGAAACTGTCCTCCCTGCGACTGTCCGAATGTTCATTAGTTGTCCGAGCAGTAGGGTGAATTTTCCATTACCTGACTTCCCAGCGAGTGGAAAGGGTGCCTGACTTAGCCAACGCAGGCACTAGGGTTTACTGTTAGTTCACCAGCCGTTACATAACCCTAATATTGTATCGTAAGATTTCATCAGGGCTTCTACAAATTCCACATTGCCTTAAAAGATTCCGGGTAGTTTTGTTGGTTTCAGAACGGCATGTAGACTGCAGAACGGAGACAAAGGTCAAAGGGGTGGTATTCAGGCTAAAGGGTGCCGTTCTACATTATGCACCTATCTTATAAATCTATCTACCTACTTCAAATTACTATAAATCTAGTTCTAAATCGCCCTCAATCTCCTCATGACTTCAACACTAGATGTGAATCAGTCTCGTTGAAAGTGAAAAATGTATGTGGTCGGGAGTCTTGAATCATTGCCTCAAGGACCTTTATTTATTGTATTTTAAGGGCATCCCAATATATGAAGAAATATTTTGCAAAAAATACTATACATATTTTCACTGATAGCCAGGCAAGCATTCTGCGAATCCAACACAATAGCAATCAGTTCTCTCATCAGATCAGAATGATATGTCAAGGATGCAAAGTTCACCTACAATGGTGTCCAGCTCATGTTGGCATAGAAGGCAATGAGCTAGCTGACAAGCTGACCAGAGGAGGTGGAAAGAAATAGGCCATGAAAAGGGATCAGTATACCTCTCACTCCTTCATCAAGCATAAGGCGAGAGAATGGGTGCTAGAGGCATGGCAAAAAGACTGGGACTTGGAGCTATGGCACGAGGAGGAGGGCCAAAGGACTTGGCAAGTACTACAGGCTCCAGGCTCAGACTAATCATCCAAAATTTTCTTACAAACTAGATGGATTTCAAGGACACAGTAGGGAGACAGAATCCGGACTTTTCCAGGCCAGGCTAGGAGTAGGCAATACCAGGGTCTACTTGCACATGATAGGAAAGGTTCAAGATAAGTCATGTAATTTTTGTGGAAAAGAAAGGCAAAATGTGCAGCACCTGCTGATACACTGTCCAAAATTCAAAGACCAGAGAAGCAGATGCTTCAAAGGCATGAGCCAAGAACACTTCCGACCTTGTTTTGTACAAACAGAGGGAAAGAAGCATTATTAAGATATTTGGATACATCCAAGTGCATGGCAGCACATAAAGGGAGTTAAGTTAGGATAGTTAATTGGGAAATGTTAAATTTGGAATGAAGGGGTAGTGATTTATAAGGAGGGGAAGGCTAGATCTATGTATTTGAAATGTGTCATAGCTAGATAGCTGAATACACTATGAATTAAAAAAAAAAAGGACCTTTATTTCTTTTGCTGCAAATTACAATTAACTCGAATGTATTAGAGCTTTTCATTTTTATAACCCTATAGTGTATCACTATCAAATGTTGTGTACTTTTACATCTATTGCCTTGCCATATGCCAGCGCTAGTTGGTAGGAATAAAACGACCCATTGTATTCTAGGACTAATATCGAGCATGGTGAACACTGACTCAGCGAAGCAGGAATCTTGGTCGAACCTCAGAAGCCTTTATTCTGATATTTTCATTGAAATTATTTGAATGTAGAGGTTAAGTCTAGCAAGTTTCGGAGAGGAGTATATTTTAATTTACAAACGCGGAATGGTATCCGCAAAAAGATGGATTAAAAAAATAAAGTGAGCAGGATACATTACTGGCCCTAGATATCAAGAAATCATTATGCATTTTTTTCCCTCGCCGCTGCTCCAGAAGCCCTAGACCATACGTCTCCTCCCCAGTTCATAATTCGTTCAACAGCTGTTAATGGGGTTATTGCTGGCCTCACGTCTAAGAAAAAAACGGGCTCTCCATTGGAATCATCGGGACCGGCATAATAGTCGATGACATATCGAATTTGTTTTCGCTTTCCATTAAACTCGCGCTGAACATACCAATCGTGACGATCAAATGGAGGGTCGGTACTGTATAAAGTAAGGGAATGTCACTCTTCAATTCAGAGAAAACGTACCCGAAACGTGTAGGATATATCTTTCCTAGTAGCTGAAAGAGAGTTGCTTTTGGGGTCATATCTTTGGGTCTACCAACAAAGCTGATCAAGCTTGGCTGTGGAGAATCCTCTTCGCTGGATGACGATTCAACATTCTTTCCATTAAATATACTCAATTCCAATCCTTTCTTTAGGCCTTTCCCGAATTTCCTTTCCCATTCAAGAATCTCGGCCCATGCGCCCTCGTTCAGGAAATTATGAACGCTGACCATACTCTCAACAGAATTGGCATCTGTGTCTGTGTATCCCTTGCGAAGAAGAGCGTTGTACATTTGCTGTGGCGATGGGTACTCCCAATTACCTTCTCCAGTACCTTTAGGTATACTGGAGGACTCACGTTCTGTTGGAAGGAGAACCGACTGATCTTTAGCAGGAGTTTGTGAAATGTAAGAGAACATATAGTTGAGTGGGTTGTATTGAGAGTAACTTGAGGCTAGTTTCGAATCTGGGCTAGGTAAAACTCCATTTTTATCAAGATTATCTATTCCTGAACCTGAAGTATTACTGATTGTCTTTTTTCCATCATTGTTTGGAGCATGCATTGGGCATCCTGGCTGTAGATTGTTAAAAATATTATATTTGATCCCTAAACTTACTCACCGGTGGTATATTACTGCTTTCAGTGAATTTATCATGAGCTGAGACAGCGGTACTAATCGGATCAGCCCAAAACCAGCCCATATTTACAAAGTGTTGATTATGTATGGTGTTTTACCGACCAGCGCTTAATCAGTGGATTTGTCCTTATGACTAGATTTGCTCGGCCCGGATATGACTATTACACTAACAAGCAACTAAAAAGCGCAAGTAACCATGCATCAAATCAGCTGCGATAATCTAAATTCTGATGTCAAATTCTAGTCTTCATCAAAAGCACACATGCTTGCTGTCATCTGTGTGCGGTATCCCCTATCAACCTGGGAGAGAAATGTTCTCCTAGAGCCAAGTTCAGTCAAATTTCGTAACACTCGAGAATTTGACCCACGAGGTACTGATTCAAATTGCTCCACTACGTCACTTTTTCGCTCCCAACGAGTTTGACTTCACCTAAGTCTCGTCAAGTTTACAAGTAGAATCAAGTACATCCTCATCCCAATGACCACACCTCTCGTCGACTTTCTCTGGCCTCAGCTGGTCGCCAAATATATGCCCACGCCGGTATTTATACCCGACGGAGGAAGCAAAGCGTGGCGCACAAATCTGGGAGACAGCTCTTTGGGATGGGCGTGAGAGGATTCAGGATAAGTTCACAAGATGATGCAGGGGATGGATATAAATTTGATGGGAGTGAATGTTGGAAATTTGGCATGAGTTTTACGAACTGAGCTTTGTGCGCGCCAATACTTCGCTTACGAGAGTGCAGCTGTCACTACATAAATAAGCAAACCATGGGAGGTGCGGTGGTCCAACTAATTGTGGTGTTCTCTGGTATGATTTGAGTATCCTGGGCACCTACTTCACTTAGGAAGGAGGGGAAGTATTCTCAGCACCTGTCAGTGGTGTCCCCTACAAACCTCCAGCTCTCACTGTAGAGTCTACAGAGCCGAGATTGAGTAACACGGTCCTCACTTTGACCAGGATTCCTAATCGCTTTCGCAGTCTGTATCGTCTTCATCTCTCAATACATTCCCCTAGGACCATTATCTTGAAGCTTACCACGATCAGATCAGATGGTAGGTTCGAAGCCTTGCCCATCAATAACTCCTGATCATGGAGGAAAAGCCATCCGATGAGTTTCCGGAGCGTATCCAGCACCCGATGCGGAAATGGTGGATTGGGTCAAGATGGTCTCGAATATTACAAAGAAGGGACATATAGATGAATTTGCGCACCTCATGTGGTCCCGGTGTCTAGGCCTCGCCTGGCTGGGGCTGCAGGTTTTTTGAGACTTTTTCCCGCGTACGCAGTTTCCATTGCTACCATTTTTTATCTTTTTTGGATAGAAGGCCCCGGGGAATATATCAATGATTTTTCAAGTAACAAAAGAGGACAGGAGCACTGTACAAGGTTTGGCCTGGGTCAGAGAGGAGCCCAAGTTGCTAGATAGTCATAGACTCAAGTAGTGCAATAAAAATACCTCTCTCCTTCACAACCTCTGGCCTCAGCTGACGACCAAAAAATGCCAACGGCGATGTTAATACGTGTAAGAGGAAACAAAGCGTAGCGCACATATCTGTTTGACAATCCATTAGATTGGGCGTGAGAGAAGTCAGAAAATTTTAAAGTGCGATGCAGAGGATGGACACAACCTTGACTGACACGGAATGTAGAATCTAGGCGGGGAGTTTTACAAGTTAAGCTTTGTGCGTGCCAAGACTCAAGTTCCGAGGGCGCTGGCGACAGTGTAAACACCGCTTTGTTTGGATAGCACGGTGGTTCATCGCCTTGGAAGGTATCCCAGGTAAAGTCTGGACAGTTTGGACATATGTCCTACTCAAGGCAGGAGACCGCTGGTTCTAATCCGGCAAAACTCAACCACATTTCCCTTTGGTGGGTAATTACAGAGTGTCGACTTTTAGTGTAAGCATACATACCTCATAATGGTATTTGCAAATGAAATCCAGAGTATGGGTGTCTCTAACGTCAAAAGAGTTATCTGTCATGTTAATATAGCACCTTTTATGTGTCATAGCTAGATAGATGAATACACCTTGAATGTCGAAAGACCTGTTCTGCATTATCTAAGAAATGGTAACTAACTATGTTGATTAGTAATGAGCTACCTGTTTGGGAATTGTGTTAGGAGAGAGGTATATATATATGTAATTCATTATCCTTATTAGCACCTTGAGGCGCATGCAGGTTTTATCGGAAGATATTTACTTATGGTAGGATGACTCAGTTTGAAGTTTAGAACACCCACACTCAGAATTTATTTGCAGATACCACTCGAAGTTAACCCTTACGGCGTTTAACCTCTTCCGTGCATACCCACCACAGGGAAAAGCGTGAAAAACCTGTGGCTATCCGGGTGTGCTTTCGTCATCCCACAAATACAATATCACCGCGAGAGAGAGTGGTGTGTGGGTCTTAATTGGTTTGAACCAGCTTTCTCCCGCCTAAAATTAGGTAGGTGTTCAAGCTACCCAGTATCTTCTTTGGAGAACGACCTGAATGGTGTAACACTGCACCGTCCAACCCTGGAGAGAGGTATAACTGCTGTATATACGTGTCTCCTTCAATCAAAATAGACAAGAATCAAGATAACTGACAACCACCAATTTTTATTATTACGTGTGTATGTGTTTATTGTCCTATGTATTCTTTGACTGTGTAAAGACATGTAGGTCCTTTCCGCCTACAGGCCGGAAGTATCTATGCCTCGGGCAGTGTACTCCCTCCTTTGCCTCCTTCACGACTTCTTTCCAGCAGTAAAACCTCCACAGGTTTTGATTCGAGTACACACTGATATGGAGCCGTTATCCCGTCATTATCTCTCCTCTCCAGCCAACGAAACGATGGCCATTTGCGGGTATATAACTGCAGGGAAAAGTCTCGAAAACCACTGGGTGCGGGGCTCTCCTATGACGAAGAGGCCGGTCAGCCAGGTGTAGTAGACCTGTGTATACCTAAGAGCGTCTCTCAACCTTCCTAACCTCCTCCTTACTCCTCCCCTGATTCATGTCGCAGGACAAACCGAAGGTCATGAAAGGATGTCAGAAAAGTCTTGGTCGAGAGTGACTGTCGTGAAGGAGCCTAGCCTAGCATCCAAAAGTCGTTTCGGACGTGTGGTCGTCGAGCAACTCATGTATTTCAGATGCTCTCCTGGCTATTAGATTCGGAGGTATAGATTAGTAGGGACGATATCTCGACGATTCGAAATCTGCTTTTCTTGAGGTCGGAAGGGTCTTTTACTTTGCTTTCGTGGGCTTTTTGTTCGCTCGACGGTGGGCAGCACATGTTGTGATATAAAGAGGCCTTCTTTGACTACCGTTGTAGCGTTTGGTACCGCATTATCTTTCCTCATTCCCAGCATCATTATCATCGTCTTGAATGTCTTATGTGTTATCGGAAGCGTATCTTTGACGGAGGGGGAGATAACTCAGCTCAAAGTTGAAAAGGTGTTACTCAATCTCGGCTCTGCAGACTCTACAGTAAGAGCTGTAGGTTCGTAGGGGACACCACTAACAGGTATTTAAGAATTGTCCCCCACCGATTTTTTGATTTGCGTTCAATAACCTGATTTGGCGCCCTATGGGCCCATGCAGGTGGCTATAAACCTATCTATATATTTATATGGGAGGAAACCTCTCGGTGAAAACCCCCCAAGCTTTCTAATTTAATCTTATAGTTTGCAGTTTATCCTTCAGGAATTACAGTTACACTGTAACGCCGTCGATGTGTGCCAATCACGTCCCTTCTATCGATCCCAACCTTCTACATGTTCCCTCTCGTTCCCTGAGCAGCATTTCGACTGCATTTGTCAAGCGGAATTGTTCTATCCAACCATGATTAAGAATCCATCGTGTGATTCTTTTCATATCGCTAGGATTGTTGTTCATTGCTTCAAAGGAGCGATTTCGGGCTTGTCTCCAGATTTTTCCTCTACCAACTGACCACTTAGGGCAGGACATGATCATGTGCTTGGGATTTTGTGATTGGTAGCCACACGGACAACTTGGGTGATAAACTCCTGGTACTTTTCTTCTATGCAAATACGAATTGAGCCCGTTATGCTCGCTTTGAATTTGGACTGCTAAGCTACTTTGGGCCCTCGTCAGGTTTTTGTGGAGAGAAAATGGCGACTCCCGGAAGCTTATTTTCTTACGTCCAGAATGGCGGCATTGGTAGAACGTTGTTGCTGCCCAAGTTTTAGGATCTGCTGAAGCAGTTCCCCACCGATTGTTATTACTGCTATAGAAAGCGTGTGACAGAAATACCACCAGATAATTCAGGCAGTAATTGATTTTTCAAAAATAATAGGATATATCTGTATCAACTATCTCAGCTGTTTCAACGCAAGTAGACTTTAAATATCACATACTAGTCTTAGAGAGAGGTGTGTTTATTTTGCTACTTGATTCAATGACTATCTAGCAACATACTGGTCATAATACGCGTGCATAAATCTCAACTTGTAGAAGTCCCTGTCAAAACTCGAAATCTCATTCCTATTTAGATCGTATCCAACGTTAGCATCATCTTGTCCACTATTTATGGACTCTCTTACGATAATTCTATTTAACATGCCTTCTAGATTATTGTACCACAATTTAGCTCTGACAGGTGTTGATTTTCTTGCGGGCGTGTATAAGGAGGATATATGAGGCAAGAGACTGATCCTACAAGAGGTGTGTTCATTGAAATGAGGATGTACTAGGTCACACTTGTAGACTTGATGAGGTTTTGGTGTAGATCGACATTGATTGGAGTGAGATATCGATAAAGTTCAGATAAGTGAATGATTGCTTGGTGGATCAACTTTGGTATTGCAAAATTTGACTGATCTTAGCTCTGAGGGAATATTTTACTCCCAGGTTTGTAGATGGTACTGCGTATAAGTGTACAGTCTTGCCATCCTGCTTTCCATGCTGTCCGTATGGCTACCAAACTCAACGTCACGAGATCAACCTTGACTGTCGAAATAACGTAGCACTGATCTTCATTTCTAGGGTTCACACACCAATGTAAGACGCCTGTGAGTCTGGCGCCGGGAAATGTAGAGGCGTCACAAGCGCTGA